TTAGCATTAAAGTAGCCTGGAGGAGGGGCTTACACTGCGTTTAAAAGGAAACCAGACCTCAGCCTTCTGCTCACTGCTCCGCTGCTAGGTGAGGCTTGGGTTTCTGTCTCTCCCAAGGAGAAGCGGTTTTGTTTGGAGACAGTGTTTGAGGCCTGTGCCCTTCGCCATGGAGGAGCCATCAGAGACGCTCGGCCCAGCTGCGGACCCAGAAACTCCTCAGACGAACGCTGCAGAAGACTCCTCTGACGACTCAGGTAGGGCGGCCCTCGGCCCTCTTCCTGCGGTTCCGAGGAGTCAGTGGGCGCTGCCCTGCTTTCTCACCTTGGTAGCTGGCACACAGCGCCTGGTGCTGTGAGCCTGGCCCAGCCCTTGCTAGGTGAAGGACCACGAGTCTTAGGTCATCTTTACAGGGCAAGTAGGTAGTCAGTGCGACCCGCAAGAGACGCGGTCGTGGGTGCAGATAAGGAGTAAGGTGGGTACCGGAAGGGGGTGAGGCTGAGGCGTCCTCGGGCGCAGAAGCTTGAGGCCTAGGACCAGTTAGGGGACATACTGAGAAAGGTTGAGGGACCAGGGTGCGATTACAGCTTGGTGGGACAGCGTTGAGCCATCAGCAATTGGGTTCCGCAAAGGCTTTTTTCCTTTTTTTTTTTTTTTTTTTTTAATATTTATGTATTTCGGGTTTTTTAAAGATTTATTTTATGTATATGAGTGTTCTATCTGCATTTACACCTGCCAGAAGAGGGAAGCAGTTCACATTATAAATGGTTGTGAGCCACCATGTGGTTGCTGGGAATTGAACTCATGACCTTTGGAAGAACAGACAGTGCTCATAACCACCGAGCCATCTCTCCAACCCATATATTTGTTTTTTGAGGCCTCTGGCCTGGAACTCGCTATGTAAACGGGGTGGCTAGCCTCCACTACTGCCTCATAAATCTAGGATTAAACACGAAGGCGGCTGCAGTAGGGTTTTGTTTTGTTTTTAATCCGTTTGTTGTTTGTGTTATGTTTTAGTACAGAAATCTTGTTTGTTTGAAAAAGGGTTTCACGAAAGAAAGAAAGAAAGAAAGAAAGAAAGAAAGAAAGAAAGAAAGAGAAAAGAAAAGAAAAAGGGTTTCACTGTGTCGTCCTGTATGCCCTGGAACTCGATTTTGTAGCCCAGCCTGGCCTCAATCTGGAGATCCTCCTTCCTGTGCCTTCAGAGGGCTAGGATTAAAGGTGTGCAGACACCATGCTGCTGCTGCCAGGCTGTTTATCTGTCAAGGTTTCTCTGTATAGCTCTGGCTGCCCTGGAACTTGCTCTGTAGACCAGGCTCGCCTGGAATTCAAAGAGATCCACCTGCCTCTGCCTCCCAAGTGCTGGGATTAAAGGCGTGGGCCTCCTTCAGCTGGCTGTTTTATTTTAAACCAGGGCTGGTTGGTTGGTTGGTTATTCAAGACAGGGTTTCTCTGTGTAGCCTTGGCTATCCTGGACTTGCTTTGTAGACCAGGCTGGCCTCGAATTCAAAGAGACCTGCCTGCCTCTTGCCTGCTGAGTGCTGGAATCACAGGCGTGTGCCACCATGCCCAGCTTACACAGGAATCTTAAACCTCACTTAAATCTGGAATTTTTTCTTCTTCTTCTTCTTCTTCTTTTCACCCACTTCCTGGCAGCAGTTTCCAGCTAAATTTACATTCCAGGTGAATGGCTTTTCAGGGGGAAATAGGAGCCCAGGACAGGGGGAGCTGTGTCCTCAGTGGGAGGCAGGTCTGGCTGCTGCAGATGAAGCTTATGGCCTGAGGCTCCAGGTTTTTGCCACCTCCTGGCCCTCAGTGCTGTGGGGTGGCTCAGGAAGGGCCCTCTCCTCCACCCTCCTAGCTCCCTTCTGTCTTGGAGAATCCCACCTGAGAGGAGATGTCTGTCCTGAATCTGCCCTAATACCTGGCAGTTACATGTGGCCTCCTCAGCTCCCTGTGATAATTCCTTGGCCTTTTATATTTTGTGGCTTTTGTTTTAATCTGAAGGCTGTTGTCCCCACTGGCCTAACTAAAACTCCCAGTCTAGGCCCAGTTAGACCCAAATTCTGTCAATAATCCTGTCTGTGTCCCAAATGCCGGAACTACAGACTTGAGCTCCTGGAACCTTGCTGTCAGTTAATGCCTTTTCATTCGGGACAGCTGTGGTAAGTTTTCATCCTGAGATAGGAATCCCCTGGTGTGTGATGACCCAGGTGGGAAAGAGCAAGGTAGGTTTCCCAAAATGCCCTGTTTACTGCAAAGTCCAGTATGAAGCTATGAACTGTTTAGGCCACACTCAGACTTAGGTGTAAAAATCAAGACCTGGTTTTTAGAGTTTCACGAGCTGATGCTGAACCCAAAACCACACCTGGGCAAGCCTTCCAGCTGAGGCACCTTCCCAGCAGCACAACCAGCTTGTGGCTGCAGAATCTGTGTGTGTCTCTCTTCTTGCTCATGTCTGCAGGTCTTGGAACACCTGGAGCTAGAGTTCCAGGCAGTTAGGCCTCTGGAGCAATGCTGTCTTCGGCCTAGCACAGGGTCAAGCAGCTCAGTAGATCTCTACACAGACACTAGGGTATCTGCCTGGGGTTTATCGTGGCCATGACCTGTGCACATGATTTACTTCTGGTGGGCCCCTCTCTTGAGAAGAGGGGGATATCTCTCTGTTAGTTCCTCTGGGGTATTGCCTTAGAAAATGATACACCTCACCTTCTGTTTCAGAATTCCCACAGCCAGAAATGTTAGTAAAGATCATGAAGAAGCTGAGCCTCGACCCCAGTGCCAAGCAGCCAGGCCAGCGCCGCCAGCGTCAGCGCCAGCGCCGCCGCCAGATGATCAACATGCCCGTGGAGAACAGAAGTGAGAAGATTTTGAGGGAGGTTCAAAGTGCCTTTCCCAAGAGAAGTGTCCGCACATTATTGTCTGTGCAGAGAGACCCTATAGCAAAGATGAAGCGGTTCATTCGGGTGAGTTACATTTGTGGACAGCGCTGCTTGATGGTCTAATAGCAGTTCCTGCCTCTCAGGGATGACGACTAAGACAAGGCTATTCCTGCTCTTAGTAGGTACAGGTTCAGAGAGGCCAGAGAGTCAAGTTCCAAGGCTGTCCTCTGCTCCATAGTCCAAGGCCAGCCAGAGCCATATGCAAATAAGCAGTGATTTTGTTTGTTTGTTTGTTTGTTTGTTTTTGTTTGTTGAGAGTCTCCCTGTACCACAAACTGGCCTCCAGTTCAATCCACAGTCCTGCCCCTCATTCTCTTCCAGGGCTGGGATTGGTAGACCAGGCTGGCCTTAAACTGGGGTGGTCTTCCTGCCTCTTGCTCCCGCGGTGCTGACAGTAATGGCTTCTCCCATAGGAGGTGGTTTAGCTTTGTCTTGGTCGTTTTGAATAACTCTGCTCTTGTTTTCCTCATGAAGATTGAGAAGAAACTAAGGAGCCTGAGTGGACACGGGGTAAATCCTTTTATTGCTCATGCATGGCTTTGGGTTGGGTGTCTGTCTATTGTTTGGTTTAGACAAGGGGGGGGGGGGGTATCTGATCTCAACCTCTAGGGATTCTGGTAACTGAACCCAGTATGTAAAGAAGAGGTGGGAATTTATGTTTCTTTGGGTTACAGCATCCTGTTACAATAACTGATTTATGTATTTATCCATTTATTTATTTCAGTCTGAAGAAAACAAGGAGCCGTTCAGATGTCTCTGCACTTTCTGCCTGTATCAAGGGTGGGACCCTTCTGAGAA